ATCCCAAAAGGGACGCTCAGAGCAAAGGCGCTGATAGGGGCCAATACAGCAAATCCTCCCCAACTGAGGGAATAGGGGAATAGGGGGCCCCAACCAACCCCCAAGAGGGTTCAGGTCCTGCAAAGCAGCCGGCAGAAGTGAGCCGGCATCTGAATGAAGCGATACACACATTTTCTCCTCACACACGTCTCATATTCCCAGGTCAAGGTGTCAGCACCCCAAAAGGACCAACCACTCGGACCTGGTACGGGACCCCTAAAGTTGAGATGGGGAGGGAAGGGACTCCACCACAACCCAATCTTCCCGGTTCCTGCTCCGATCTTGGCCCCCCATCCCACACCTAGACCAGACGGCCCACAGGACAAGCCCTCAGAGGAACCAATGGTGCCAACATAACAGGGCCTGTTAGCCAACCACTCAGCAGGACCAACAACTAAAACCGTCTTATTAAAATCAACATACTCCCTATAGCTCTAAATAAAACAACCATGATGAGTTACCATTAAATACAATTGCGCAGAGGCCAAACCACTCTACAACGCAGTCTTACCAGGTGACTATGGACCTATTTAAACACTGAGAAGATACATTTAAAAAATCCTTGTGGGCCTGTGTTCCTCAACTAAAGAAAATCTGAATGTAAAAACAAAATAGACTTTAAAAATACCGTTGTTATTTTGGAAATTAATTAATTGCCCAGCACTAAAATACATTATGGCCTTGATCTCATTGTATCAACCATGTAGATCAGTTACATCTTTTGACTCAAATCTATTCTGCATACCTTGAAATAAAACCTGTATTGAGGTTCTATCTTCTACTTACAGTATATGGTACAAACCTTCAGAAGACTGGTTTACCCACCTTTTTAATGCCATTGCAATGTTATCTTCTGTATACTGTATTTCTCTTGTATTCTGTTCAGCTTGCACAGGAGGGTAAACTAAGTAAACACTAAGACTTTTGAGATTAACTTAATTATCTTGTAACCTAATGCTTTATTCCATGTTACTCCATGAAAGAAAAATAAAATTGGAAACTGCAAGAAAAATTAAAAACCCTTAGCAATAAACATCCTGACATAATCAACACAAATGCTTGGCTTTAGTTTGGGTAAAAACCTTAGATTTTCCTCCAAATCTATGGAACATTGCATGACCCAAATGCCCCAAAATCAAAATAATTGAATTTAGTTGAAACCACTAAAGTCCTTTTTTTCCTTTATCAGAAAAGCCCCCGGGATAGGTGTTTGCTGCCACATTTCACAAAATGGGCTATGCTTACAACAGTGAGAGAAGTGCAAAAAAGACAATAATCAGAACCAGAAGACAACTCCCACAAGAGCTCTTTCCACTGTGTACCACTTTGTGCTGTGGATTTGATGTGACCTGTGCTATTCAAACTCAGCAGTAACTATGTTTGCGAATGAGTCATCTGTTCTTATTGTATTTGCTGAGTCATACAATAAATCTCATGTTTCACATATGCTGCCATACGGTCATGCACTGCATTTTATAAGACACACTTAAACGGTGATGCCTTGAGTAAAGCTATCCCTTTCTCTAAGACTTCATTGACCATGAAGGCAGTGTTGAACTTTGGATGGGAGTGGTGAAGTGCATGCCAAATGGGTCCCTCAATCTTAAAAAGAAGCTAAAGAGCTGTGATAGCTATAATCTTCCTCTCTGTAAGAGGATGTTAATTTAGCTATAGCTATATCAAGCTATATAAAGGGAGACAAAATAGTTTTCGTTAACAGTAAAAAAAAAAAAAAACCTTCCTAAAAGAAGAGAAAAGTGATTGCAATACTGTATGATTAAATAACAAGCTGACCAAAGGTAAATTATCAAGTCTATTTTTGTGTCCAAAAGTCTCTGTAGAAGATAATGCTGGTCTATATTTTGGTGAAATCACTGTCCCATATCACTCTGAGTTTACTGCCCTTTGCAGGATATTCTATCGGCATGGCAGAGCTTGCTTGTGCTTCCTTACCACTATGAAATTTAAACACATTTGATGTAGGATAGTCAACAGTCACTTAAGAGCATTGAAATATAAGCCCTGCTATTAAAGCACTCCACCCCATAATCTTCGTTTATTTTATTTTTTTTGTTGTAGCAGTCCTGATTCCAATAGTTAACTAATTAATAGTAATTTATAGCTTAGTTATATTCAAACATATATAACAATTTTAAAATTTAGACTATGTTCAGATTACCCCAATATTAGAAAAGTTCCACGAATCAAAACGAGGCAGAGAAAAGGCTCTAAAACCTTAAAGCTCAATATATAGAGTGTATAATAAAACTTATCAACATGATTTGGCTACATCCTTGCAAGGAAAACATAAAATCTCCTTTCATTCATTCAGAAAATGTACGATGACAGGTTATAATCTCTTTCTGTCTGTCTACTCTATCTATATTTTGGATATGAACAAATATTGCCCCTTAGCACAATTTAAAATAAGCTGAAAGGACCAACAATGCTTTTATCAGTTAGTAATTAATTCCAGAATGAGTAAAGGGAAATAATACAGTAGTCAGTACCAGTTTAGGACAGATATTTTAGTGGAGTTTCCCAGGACATGACATAAGGTATGGTCTTTGCTTCCTCGGTTCAGTCCTACTTTACTATGACTTAATGGAGTGTTTATGTAAGACTGTCTGTTTTTAAGTGGAAGCCTTGGTTTGATTATCTAGATGGTAGTGTGCTTGATCTAGACCTGGCTCTAAAATATAAAGAACACAGATTTTTCTTCTGGCATTGCTTGGGAAACTGTTTTTTTTTTTTTTTTTCCTAGCTAAAGATGGGATTTGAGAGACGTAACCACTCTAATGTTTGATAGATCCTCTTGTCCAAGAGGAAAACGTTTTTCTTGATGACTGAGGCTTCAAATTGTCTTTGCTTTTTATTACTCTTCCCCAAGGTACATTCTGGTGCTTCTATGGACTGTTTTATACGAACTGAAAGAACAACACATTGTAAATATATCATTTATAAATAGTGCTAATAGGCATTAAGTTAAAGGTCAGCAACAAAGGGTAAGTTAACAAGTGCCTCAAAAATAGGAAATTGAAAAATCTGGAATTTGATTCCAACAATAAATTAACACCTTAGTGCCCAATCATAAAAATAAGATTATTTAACCACTTTTATATATGTGCATTTAAAGTAACTGAATATCCCCCTCTGATTGTTGCATCTAACACTTTTGCTATAGGGTATAGGAGGTCATCAAGTCAGCATCGAAATCATTTTCATGTTGAAATATTTTCACAACATGAACACTGTTGCTGACACATGGATGAATACTTCAATTGAAATATTGCAAAAATGACAAAATTCTGATTAATTTGATATAAACTACATATGCATATGTCACCTTGGTTGAACCCAGGGAATTAAATTTTTTTTTTTTTCCAATCTGAGCAGTCTGTCTTTAAAGAAAAAAGGAGATGTAAAGAAGGCTGGCTAGTCAGAGCCTGTTAGGATTACATGGTGGGGTATTATGGAATCTGTATCCCAAATCTATACATTATCTAAAGAAAATGGGATTTCCATTCAAGCTTATTTAAGAATTTATGTCAGATAAGAA